AACAAAAATTGTATCACATGGCTTGTCTAGCTTACCACAGCCTAAAGATCCTGTCTCAACTAGTTGCAGTGAATTATTTAAAAATTTAGCAGTGAGATCAGATTGGCCACTAGGAGAAAGTTTCTCATCAGATGCAGCTACACAAAGCATTGGCTGCTTCAGTCTACTGTTGGCAGTAGTCCAGCTTTGGGCACAATGTTGGACAGGAGGATTTCCAGAGGCCCCTGCCAGCCAATATTTCTAATTCCAGAAAACTGTTCAGTAAATTATTTGAAGGAAAGTATTGTTTCCAATCAGAGAAAAGTCTAAACCGACTGTGTATTTGTTGTAAACTGTCACCTTTAATGTAAATCTACAGTAATATCAGTGACACTACTATTCGTGCGTGTTTGGTCTGTCTGTGAATTTGATAGAAAAGTAAATGCTTAGATCTTCAAAAGCCTGATACCTGTAATCTTGAGAAATCTGGCTAAACAGCATACATCTATATTCCAGTGAGAGCTGAGCATGTGTAAAACCTTTTGTAGGATTAAGGCACTGAATTGATTGTCATCCCATAAAGGACAGAAGCTATGTAAAATAATAGGGAAAGTAGTTTCCTTTTTATTTATCTTGCCTAATCACCAATCTTCTGTTTTAATTTACCTTTGAGTCAACAGAAATTAAATTCCAAGTGATACAGGATTCCAAGTGAGTGCTTTCAGTATGGCTTGATGGGGCTAGTGTCTGCAGGGTAGCAATCTGTTGGAAAACACCTTTCTGAGGCACTTTTGCATATTGCCAAGCTTTTGTGAATATCCCAATGGAAAATATTTCAAGGCTTCTACACTGCATTGTAATCATGACAGACCTACCTGACAGACCAAAAAAATCAGATCTCTCCAAATATCTGGACAGCAATCAAAGAACACTGTTGAACAGTTGTTCCCATGCCCTTTCCCACTCATCTACTGTTAAAGAAAGGATGCCAGGAAATTCTTTACATATGGGTTTATGTTTCAGGAGTTACAGTGAGCTCCTCCTTCAGAAAATATTGCTGCAGTTCCTTATAATCCCATCCAGGAGCCAAGGACTGAATGGGTATGGAATCTAAATGTCTTTTCACACCTACTTGCAGATCTTTTAGTTCCTGTGCCAGTTCAGGTTGAAGATGCTGAAGCACAGAGGGAATTTGCTACTATCCCTATTGTGCAGATAAACAGTGAGGCTCCATAATTACTTAATTTAGCATCTCTGTTTCTCAATATCACAGAATTATTTCAGCTAGAAGACATCTCTGGAGGTCACCTGGTCCAACCTGCCTGCCTCACCAACATGGGCAGTTTAGAAGTTAGACCCAACTTCAAAGTTAGTTCACTTTTCTCAGGACTTTTCAATCCATTTTACAAGGTTAAACATTGTCATCATTGTCCTCCTTGTAAATGAGTAAAATTTTCATGAGGAAGATAAATAACTTCTCAATATCATACAAGTTTCAAACAGAAGATTGACATTTAGCTTCCCTGAAAGGTAATAGGCTTTAGAAAGGCTGTAGATCTGAATGTGACCAGGATATTACTTTGGAGCTCATGTCTGCAAGTTTCATACTCCTTTTATTGGGCTGTAACAGAAGGACTTCAGTGATCAGGACATTCAGCCCCAGGGAGTTGTTAATAATAGTGTCGTAAAAGTAAAAGGGGTGGTGATATTTTCTATTTTTTTGGTCTGTGACTGGATTCATGAAACTGCGTGGTGTGTATAATAAGAATGAAATTATCACTACAGATTTGTGCATTGCAAGCAGAATACATTTAATGAGCTTCTTCAGTGTTCTCATGTGATCTAACTGTAAAAAGCTGTTCTGTTTCCCAGTTTAATTTGTTTGATTAAAAAGAAACTAATCACAATATTGAACTTGCACAACAATGCATGTCCATCTTTAAAACTTTTGTTCTCCACCTAGTTACATTTATGAGACTTTATCGTTGTATGGAGCCTACAAACAAGAACCTCTATAAATCCGCCTGCCAGGCTTAAAGCTGAAGGTAAGCCATAACTCTTGGGTTCAGCAAGATCTTGGTTACAAATTAACTTTGCTAAGGCTCAGTGTACAAGGGCTTGTGCCACATGTTGTTTCAGGAAGTGGATCCTGTTGCTGCTCTGTGGAGACATGTAATGTCATTCCTTTAAATATTTTAGATCAACAGCATTGCAGAGACTGGTGTAAACTCAGGGTTGCATGCAGAGAGAGGGAGGGTCGTGGACAGAAGGTGGATGAGGGGAATGGGAAACCAGTTGCATAATTTGATACTTGAAAACCCCTGAAATCCAGGAAGGCTAGTATTTATTTAAACTTTTCTTTTAAACATTTTAGAACATATTTGAAGTCCATTTAGCTATAATAGTTTAGGTAAGTTAGTAACAGTAGAATTATAAATAGGTCAAGGTAGTCTGAGAGATTAGGAAGAGAGAGTACATGTTATTAGGTGATCTTCAATAGAAATCTGCCAATTATAAGCCAGTTTTGTATGAAGTAGTTACATATTAGGACTGTGAAATGCCACCCTCATGAAGGCAGCTAAGTTGTAGCAGAGTGGTACTTTTTTCCTGTGAATGTAGCTACCAGTAAAATCTGTGTTGAGATTTATGCGTACAGACACTGCCTCCCTCCAACACCTCTGTGATATAACTGTATCTGGGAGGGGAGGAATAGGTTGGGATAAGAGGCACAGTTCTCACATTTGAAGTCAGTGTATTTTTATGGTCCTTTTTACAGACTTAAGGGTAAGAATCATCCCTGTTAAGAGGCTGTTAGGCTGCTTCATTACCACTATATCCAAATGATATAAGTAACCAAAAGGAGTATGAATGGGTTTTTATTCCACCAAGGACTTCTAGGCATATATTTAGAGAGGAAAATGTAGCTCTTGTGTAAAATCAGCAATGGCAGAAAACATACAGCTGAAAACTTTGTGAATACGTAACAATAAATATACATATATGTTACAGATTCAAGTTTTCATCTCTGAGCATTTGGGAATGTGCCTTTTCTGAAATCACAATCTATCTTCAGGCCTGCTTTTCAGGCAGCTGCAGGTGTGAGCAGCAGAGACAACAGCTGAGAGGCATTTAACAACTACCTTGTGCTGTTCAGTGAGATACACCTGTGCACTGCAAAGCTCTCTGCATGGCCTCTGCCAGGTAAATACTTGCAATACATGAATTCTAAAATGATTCACATAAGACAGCATCCATAAGCTGTAGCTTACTTTAGTTGAAATAGAGGGAAATAGTCTTGGTGGTGATAGTGCTAGCATGTGAATCAGTGTTTGCCAAAGAGAACTCCATAATATCTGCTGTAATTAACCAGTTATAAAATTTGCATGTTAAAAGAAGAAGAGAAAATGTGATGTTAATATCTAAACCCACAGGACATTCACAGTTAAATGTCCAGCTCTGCATTTTCCCATGACAGACATCAGTAGCTAAATAGCAGCACCATTTTTCATTCGTTGAAAACCATATTTCAACACAACACCAATATTGAAGTACAAACTGAAGATTTAATTAAGCTAAGGAAAAAATGATGACTTGCAGCATTTGGCCTTCAAAAATTATTAGTAGCTCATCAGCGGTGACAATAGGCAAAACAATAACATGGTCAAAACAGTTTAGAGGGTTTTTAATTTTCATTTCTGCTTTAAAATAAATGAGTTTGACGATGAGTCCAAAAAGTGGCTTAAGCCCCGATGTTACAACTATTTCTGCTGCTCCCAGGCAGTAGAAATGCTTAGGAGGAATATTCTCATAGTAACTAAACTGGGTGGTATTTTCCCATTGTAGTCCCATCCATGAAACAAGAAAGGAGGCACAGAGGAAAACTGCCAGTCTTGGACTGCAGTTGGTGCCCAGGAAATCGTTCTTTATTGAGCAGTTTATAGGCTAGCAAATACAGGGCTTTATATTTCTATTTTGCAAAACATCCTACATACATCCTTTCTGAACAGCAATGTTCATTTTGCTAGGACCCACCTTTGGAAACCGTATGTACAGCAGGGCCTAAAATGCCAAGTACTTTGTGCTTGCAATATCCCTTAAAAACTCCTGTGTAACCCCGCACTTTATTACACCCAACCGCTGGCACGGGGAGCTCGATCCACGCGCAGCAACGTGCACAGAGTCAGTTCCTGCGGAGCAGGTGAAGACTTTTGCTTTGGGCATTTCAAGGCTAAGCCACAGATCGTGTTCTAGCAACTGTACACGTGCATTCCTCTGATTTTCTGAAAAACCAGGCTCTGGTCTGAGAGCCCATAGCCCCCTAACTCGCCCACACGCCGGGCGAGGGGCCGCGCGTCTCCGCGGGCGCGCAGCAGAGCGCGCAGTGCCCGCGCCCAGCGGGGCTGGGATCCCGCAAAACTGAAAGCAGGTAGAGACACTTCCTGCAGGCAGAACTGGAGAGAGAGAAAGGGAGTTTTCCTCTCATCTCCCTCAAAAACCAATCAGGCCAGATCAGCCAGGCGTTGATTCTCCCTCCGTCCCTCCTACACCTTTTCCAGGGGCCCAATGGCCTCGTCCCTCTGGGAGATTGACTAGAGTCACATGAGCTGCACCAAGGGCAGGTAACCCAGGAGAGGGGAAGGGGAAGGGGGAAGGAAAAAAAAAAAAAGAGAGCGAGAGGAAAAAAAAAAAAAAAAAAAAACGCTGGGCTTCTGCCATGATGTCAGAGGGAAAGAAACCCACAGCTTGCTAATTTCACCTCCCAATCAGCCCCGGGAAGAAGGAGATCACCGGGAACAGGTAGAGATGCAAGCTTTCTCCATTTTTTTTTGTCGCCAACACCCTACCCCCTAAATAGCTCTTTCTCTCTTGATATTGTGACTCCTAGTTCTCTCCTTTCCCTTTTGATCACTTGGAGGTAGGGGGTGAGCTTTGTGGGGTTTTTTTGTTCTTTTTGTTTGTTTGTTTGTCTTTCTTTTTTCTTTTTTTTTCTCTCTTTTTTTGACCTCTGCTTTTGATTGTAGTTGTTTCCCCCTGTGGTCATGACGGCTTCGCACAGTGACTCTTTGGTGGTGTTGTTTGGGGCAACAGCTGGTGCATATGGGGCTAAACTGGGTTCGGATGAGAGGGAACTAATTCTCTTGGTGTGGCAAGTTGTGGATCTACCCAGCAAGAAGGTATGGCTTCGACCCCCGGTGCGAGG